TTGATTTAATTAAAAAGATCATCACAACTCTGATTAGTCTAATAAAAACCTAGGAAAAGCCCTCTTTCGACTAAAATAGAAACAGCTTTGAAAATTATTCGTTCCAATTTAATTAAACTTTGCGTAATTCAATTTCCGCTAGAGTATTCTTTTAATGCTTGATGTAATTCAACTCCCGACTTGCTTCATTTACTTGCAAGAACGTGACCATTGTATGTGCACACATAGTCGAAGACTTTATTTCTGAAAATCCACCATTTGCACCTCGTTAAAACACAAAAATTCGGTCCTAGTGCGTGATCTCCACAGAGAGAAGCTCTTCATCCTTATCACAACAATGTTTTCCTCTTGGACCAGTTTTCAATCCGAGCTTTTTCAGTTTCGATTATCACGCTCTAGTTTCCATGTGAAAAATACGATAACAAAACAGGTGGCGATTCGCAATCTCATTAAAACGTTTGAATATGTTGGAAAATTCGACACGAAAGAGGAGAGAAAAAAACAATTAACTTTGCCAGTAGTCAATTAATCTAAATTGCATACAAATTGTTCTTTCTTGGCAAATAAAAAAAAACGTTTAAAGTTTCGATAATCACTAAATAATAAATGATTGTGGGGATTGTAACGAATCGAAAAGCACCGTCAATTCCAAACAGACTCTAATTAAGCTTCGGTTAGGGTAAATCGAAAGGGGACCTACTAGAACATAACATATTGCTGTAGATACAGCGGACGTTACTATGTATATGGCATTAATGACTTCTACTCATGACAGCAACATTCACAACATTGCCGATCTGATTTATGATTCTGATTAAAAAGGCATTAGCTGGAGAACAACCATGGCGGTTGCGTGACATGCACCAAATTATCTTTTACTTTCGATAAAACTTAAAGTAGAGTCAAACTTTATTTGAAAATCGAGAATTTGATACCAATTACCCCAACAAAAGTTTAAGAAAGTTTTGTACATTTCCAAAAAAAAATTGTTAAAAAAACCTACACTCAATCAAGGAATTTCCATTTCCAAGAAGAAAAAATAAGTGCAATTTGCATTTTTCCTATAAAATAGTATATTATTTAATTATATAAGAGTAAAAGTAAATTTGCGTTGAGATTTTTGATAGTGTTTATTTAACTAGTGCAGTTAGTAGTACAAAATGTCGAATGCTGAATATTGGTAAAAGTATAAACGCTTAGGCGCAAAAATAAAATTTTTACTCCATGACTGGAAGATAAAACTTTTACTTGTGACATTTAGTCATAAAAAAGGTCACTTTTATGAAGTAATTTAGTATCTTTTTTACAGAACTTACACAAAACTCAATTTTTAATTCGACGTTTGGCAATGCAAAGAAATGACACTTACTTAAAATGAGTTTAATTCTGAATTAGACAGTATAAAAAATATAAAAAAAATTGAAAAAACAGCCAAATTGTTGTGCCGAGTAGGACAAATAAAGTTAATTGTATAAAAAAAAAATAAAAAAGAGATCGATTAACATTTTTTTTATTTCCATATTACATCAAAAACTGAACCAAATTGCAAAATTAAGAGATAAGAAGTTCAATTATTATAAACAAAACGGTCAAAATTTCATAAAAAAAATCAATAACACATAAATTTTAATTTATATTTGTAGAAACTTGAAATAGATTCATTATCATACAAGGTAGATAAAAAATATGAAACCAAGCAATTTTTTAATCATTTTAATCATCATTTCACTTCAAAAAGTAATAATTAATAAAAATTAAAGTTCTATAAAGCTTGTGATTGTGTTTTGAAAATAAAATTTTGTTTTTTGTTTCAGTTATGCGATTTTTTTGTCAAAATTGCTATTTATACGATTTTTTTTTCTAAAAAAAAAAGCTTTAAACGAATAAAAATTGCAGAACGCAAAAACAAAAATAATTGCAAAAAAAAAACTACTTCGTAAAAAACACATTTGTATAGTACTTTATCATTCATCAAAAAATAAATAGTTTAAGCAAAAGCTCCATACTTTTTATTCACCCTGTATATGCATTATCCTTGAACGGAGAATAATAATGGCGTTTGCGTGACATGCACCAAAATCATTATCTTCTACTTTCATAAAACTCTGACTTAAAAATACCAACGAGCAAAAGTAGAGTAAAATTTAAAATTCAAAATGTATTTTACAAGTAGCAATAATTATTTAGTGTTATTTTTATATTGTACATTTTTAAAAAGAATTGATAAAAAACAAAAACACAAAAATCTGCACTCATTTAATAGATTCCTAAGAAGAAAAAAAGAAGCACAGTAACCATTTTTGATTAAAAAAGCTCTTTTTATTAAAAATAGAAAATCTATTTTACAGCATTATTTTAAATTCAATAATTAAGTAAATTTCTGAAGTGACAACTTACTTCAAGTGAGTTTAATTCAGAATTAAAATTTAATTTGTTTGCTCCAATTTTTTTAATTAGTGCAGTCAGCAGGATTCGCACAAGTATTTTCAATTAAAAAATGTTTAAGTATAAAATTTAAAAAATATGAAAAAATGACCAAATCGCTGTCCTCCATTTTTTTGATGAAGGATAAAGAGTTCAAGTAAAAAGAGAAGAATCAAAAATACATAAATTTAAAAACACATAAATTTCAATTTATTTTGCAAAAGCCTGAAACAGTTTCATTCTCATATAATATGCATTATCCTTGATAGACATTATTTTGAATTCAATAATTCAGTAATTTTCTGAAGTGACAACTTACTTCAGGTGAGTTTATTTTTAAATTAAAATTTAATTTGTTTGCTCCAATTTTTTTAATTAGTGCAGTCAGCATGATTCGCACAAGTATTTTCAATACAAAAATTTTCAAGTATAAAATTTAAAAAAAGATGAAAAAATGACCAAATCGCTGTCCTCAATTTTTTTCATAAGGAGTCAAGTAAAAAATAGAGGATCAAAAACACATAAATTTCAATTTATTTTGCAAAAGCTGGAACAGTTTCATTCTCATATAATATGCATTATCCTTGATTGGCAAAGACTTTGTGTTCAGTCAAGCATCAAACACTTGCTTGGGTCACAATTGTCCTTTTCCTGATTTTACATCCTTAGGGAGCGTCCAATCATTTGATTATGTTACACCGAAAGGATAATATCCTTGAATTCGCTGATCCGTATAGAGACGACGAACCCGCAAAACTTTCATTACCCGTTTCCTCTATCCTTTTATCTCTTCGAAAATTAATCATAATACGGGCAAAAAACCAACACTACGTGGCCGAAAAAGACACTTTATAATCACAGATATACATTTCGAATTACCATAGACAAACTGTTGAATTTTTTCCCTACTACTCTGTGTGATAAATCGTGTAACGTGCACGTATTTGTGAATAAATTGTTTCGTTTTTTTTTTCCTGAGGGAGGTGCACGATGTACATATTTCTCTTAAACGAACTCATTTGTTTCTTGAATTATTCGTACCTCGTCCTATTCTATAATCCGTGTTTATTATTTTAAGGCTTTGTTCGGATGTAGCAGCTGTGTGAAGGGAATTTTTCACGTTTTATCCGTGCACAAACACCGATAATGTCCGAAGAGTTGAAGAACCGAAATTGTAAATAATGACAAGGTGGAACGCAAGGTAATAATTTAGTCGAGTTTCCTCTCCATGGCCCTTAAAGTTATGAAGCAATTTCCGTCGTACCGGACCCCAGAGGTCGTATAACGTATTAATCGTCATTTATATGTGCGAATAGTTTGAGTTAATCGACTAAAATGATAACTCCATCTCGCTGTAATAATTAAATCTACTGGAAAAAGACCCAAATGTTAAAAATACGTTCACGTTTCAATGCCCGATAAGAAATCATCCATAAAAATGGATCGCCCTTCTTGAAAAGCGTTTTTCTCAAAAGGATCCTTCAATTCGCTCAAATTAACACAAAAACAAATCGAATCAAATACGGAATTTCTGTCATGAATATTTATCTTTTACGAACTTTCTCCGTTTTGTTCTTTTCGTGACCGATTTTTACTTTTTATCGACGATTAAGAATTCAAATCCCGTAGACGTTTTGAATACACGAATAGCTAAATCAAGGTTGTTATTTTGTTGATCGTTAAAAATAAAAGCTTTTTTCTCTTGGCGAAGACATCCGGCAAAACGCCGTAAATACCAATCATTGGAGTTTTTACCTCCGGTCGAGTAATAAAACTTAATAAAGAAAGTAGTAGTGGCTTCTTGCATGAATAAAGTCGTAAATTATAGGTGGCTCACAAAGAAAATTATGTATGAGATTTAGAGGGTGAAGGAAGAAGTAACGAGGGTCGACGGTGAAATAAAACGTGTTTAAACCCCCCGAAAATTCAAGAGAGAGTTTTTAAACTGTCCCTTTCGGCTTATCGACATTCCACAATGTTAATCCTTTTTGCAAAATCCGCTTACGTGAAAAAATACAATTAATTACCGCTAGCGCACGTTTCTATTGTACCAAAAGGATTAATTTTCGCCAAAAGTAGCGAAAAAAAAAGCACGGCATTAAGACATAATGCTCGAGGGTTGTTTTCACAATTCCTGAAACACGGCGATTTATTTTAATTAAAAAAAATTAAAAATGTAAGCGACCAATTTCACAAAAACGTTGAAACGGATTTACGGATTTAAAGCTCCGATTTCCACCTATGAGATGGCGCTCCTGTTTACTCATCACGCACCTGTTGATTCTATAACCGGTTGTCAGAAAAGACAACGCAAGTGTTATTTAAGAGCACCCGAGGAGAGATAAATCCGAATTCGTTTCGAAAGTGGTGAAAAGTCGAGCCTTACGACGTCACTTTACCCAAGAACAGCTTATATTCGGTTCGATGCACGAAAACAGAGCTTAGCTCTTTCTCTATTCATTTTAAAAACATTTAGATGCTTAACATAATCTGAACAAACAAGATTGGTATTGAAATTGTGTAGTAGAGGGAACACTATGAAAGTAAATTAACTTGCTTAGAGAAACATTACTAACCTGGGGCTCGGATATCAGCGACTGGTGGTAGAAGTCGTTGGCCTGTAGGGAACGTTTATGCACGTGCTTGTGTTCGAACAAGTAGAAACCCTTCAAGCTGCCGACCTGGAAAAACAAAACGGCTCATTTTAGCTAAATTACTTTGAACTCGATTCTTGTAAATAATCCAATCCTTTGATATTAATTTGCATTGAAAATTTTCACGTGCTTGCTCAGAAGCTGAATGTCAACAATGATATTTAATGCAGAATGCACAGCCTTTATACAGGGTGCCCCAGAGATAAATGCCATGTGAGATATGATGAAAAAAATGTTTAAAAAATTCTATCTATAACAATTTTGAAGTTATGAGAGTTTAAATTTTTAACTTTGACTCCTTTTATTTGGAAAAATAACTTTTCAATTTTTTTACTATAGGGTATGAAAAGAGATTCTAATTTGCAACTCTGTTTAACGTTTATTGGTAAAATTTTTGAACATTTATTAAATAATAAAAAAAAAACATAAAAGATCATCAGCATCATTAAATAGACATAAAAATATTAAAAATATGTCAAATGTCGAGAAATAAATGTTCTCGGTATCTTACCTTATATTTTTCTCTGGGGCGCGAGTTCTGATACACCCTGTATACAAGTGTACAATTATCGCAACCACATATTCAACATCGGAAAATAACACTAACAAAAAAATTAATAAAAACATCCAGTGGTAAGATAAAAATTAAAGTAATTTTGCAAAAAAAATTAGCGCTTTCAATAGCTCAGTAAATTTTATGAAAAAAACTCAAGCGGTTTAAGAGGAACTGAAGGATTTTAATTTTTTACATAAAACTTTATCGCCCTGTATATCCGTAACGAAGCTTTACAAAACTATGGTTTATTTGACAAATTAGTTTTATTTTTCGATGTAGAACATGTGGTTGCAACCTTTCGCAATGTTAAAAAAACACCCTGTATTCTTTAAAGTACCTCAAAAATTAATTACTCGTAATGTTTTTTTATTACCTATAGAGGAAACAAAACTTGTACAGAAGAGCTAAGTCATACACAGTGAAACTAAAAGATTTTTGCTAAAACTATCCATTTTGCAAAAAAATATTAGTACTTTATAAAATTTTTCGAAATATCTTTTAGTTTTTGAGTTCTACAAAATGTTCATTTAAATGAAATTTCTGGATCCAAAGCCTTTGACCCAAAAAGTTTCAAAACTCAAAAATTTTATTCTTGAAAAACGATCACATTTTTATAATACTTTATACTGGGTGATTAAAAAGTATGGAATCAAGCGTTTTTTGCAAACTAATTAATTTATGAAAAAATTATTAGTGTAGTGTAAAAATACTATAAAATTGTTATTGTTTTTCAAGAGTAAAATTTTTCAAAAATCCTTTCAGTTTTCGAGTTTAAAAAAAAATTTAATGGCAATGGCAGTAGATAAAGTATAGTCCTTTTTATCATAAAACTTTGTCAACCCTGTATATCCGTAACGAAGCTTTACAAAACTATAGTTTATTTGACAAATTAGTTTTATTTTTCGATGTAGAACATGTGGCTGCAACCTTTCGCAATGATAAAAAAACACTCTGTATTCTTTAAAGTAGGTACCTCAAAAATTAATTATGCATAATATTTCTTTGACGTTGTTTTTTTTTTGTTTACCTATAGAGGAAATAAAACTTGTACAGAAGAGCTAAGTCATACACAGTGAAACTAAGAGTTTTTTTGCTAAAACTATCCATTTTGCAAAAAATATTAAGTACTTTATAAAATTTTTAGAAATATCTTTTAGTTTTTGAGTTCTACAAAATGTTCCAAATCCTTTGACCCAAAAAATTTCAAAACTCAAAAATTTTATTCTTGAAAAACGATCACATTCTTATAGTCCTTTATACTGGGTGATTAGAAAGTATGGAATCAAGCGTTTCTTGCATAAACTAATAAATTTACAAGAAAATTATTAGTGCAGTGTAAAAATACTATAACATTGTTGTTGTTTTTCAAGAATAAAATTATTCAAAATTCCTTTTAGTTTTCGAGTTAAAAAAAAAATTTAATGACAACCCACCTTGACATTTTTTTATTTTGTACTTAATGTTAAAGAGTGCTTTTATCAACTAATTTCAGTAGATAAAATAGTTTTTTAGCCTCTAGTGAAATAAAGTAATTTTTATCTAGTGTTTATATCTTTATTTTTTTACAAGAAATTGTGGTAGATGAGTATAAAATAAGATAAAAAAGATAAAGATTGTTTATCTACTCGTGAAAAAGTCCAATTGTGACTTCGTCACTCGGAAACTTAACCTCGTAGATAAACAATTTCTTTATCGTCTTGTATAATAAATAACTATAATTAAAGAATATGAACTAAAATGACCTATAATTAAATAAAATTGCTTTTTATCGAGTTTTTTAAATAAAAGGAAACTAAAAAATTATTCGAAAAATTTTATTCTAGAAAAACCATCATATTTTTATAGTATTTTAAATTGTACTAATAATTTTTTCGTAACGCAATTAGTTGATGCAAAAAACGCTTAGTTCCATACTTTTTATTCACCCAAAAACATTTTCATTGACACTTTTTGTTCACCCTGTATATCAAACCAAGAGTTTAAGATAATATTAAAAAAATAACAACAAATGTTTTAATATAAGTAACAGAAAGTACAAACTCATTTACAAAGAGTTAATATTCTAGAAACCCCCACATCTAGATGGTAAGATTCTGAAAATATGAGGAATTGAAAAAACACGAGATAAAACGACACTTTGTCCCTGAAATAACTAAAAATAAAACATTTCCCTAGTAGTTGTAGTCTAAATTAGCTCCTTCTGAAAATAATAAGCCTTAAGCTTCAGCTGCTCAAATTTCAGATTTCAGCCTAAAGCTACTGAAAATAATTGCAAGTACAATAAGAAATCTAATAACATTCTTTAAAAAATTTCGCTCGTGGTATTTTTGTAGCGGTATTCGGAAACAAAGAGATTTTTTTTGTGTTTTCCTTTCGGTGAGTTAATGCGTGACAGATAATGAAGACGAATCATCCGTAGAAAAAACATATAAATACAAAAGACGAGCAATCCGGCTTAAAAAAGTAGATTTATGTTGGTGGAATTCATATTTACTTTAACGAGATTGATTCGATAACAATTGACGTTAATTTAAGATTGTCGAAGTGGGAAACGCAAGCCACGAAACATAAGAAGGCTTTTAAGGGAGGAGAAAGGGTGGATGGGCACGTCTTTGCTATGAGAAAATCAAACAAACAAATATGAAATCACTATAAAATATATAGAATTTAGCACTGTTAGAATCCGAGACACGCATCCAAAGACACGACCCTTTTGAATAAAAAACTGGAAAAGTAAGAGAGAGAATTGAGTTATAAAGAATTATTAAAATTAATTGGAACAATAAACGTTCCAATCTCGACGAGATTTTTTTCCCCCTACAAAAGTTATTAGCACGAAAAAACTTGGAACGATGTACCTATTAATTGATTTTCCCTCTATCATTGTTGTTGGAGTGGGAATCGATTGTGTTTTCTTTACGTTTTCTGTCGATGACATTTTTCTTTATTGGAATTCGGGAAGAAAAGTGTCAAAGAATCTGCTGGTGCCTGTGATGAAGTACACAACTTTGCTTGATAAATAAATGATAAAACGAGTTTTTAACTTTGTCTTTGATGTTACAACTACTTAATTAAAATTAGAGAGAGTATTTGTGTGGAACGTTGTTCTTCTTTTCTTTCCCTTTCTCCTAGTTGTCCAACAAGTAGCAAATTTACAAGAGAGCTTTTCAAACCTAGATGCTTTCAGTAACAATAGAAACAAATAAACGACGTGACGAAGAGGAGGATGGGAAAAAGTATCCGTCGTAATGGATTTCCCATCCGTCTTTTAGTACAAGTACCGAGCTAGATAATTAAACTTGAAAAAGTAATTTCGTTTTATTACATTATTTGTCAGTACGATCGGCCCCATAAAAGCATACTTTGTTCTTCCTAGCGTGATTCAATCAATTTAACCTTTCCTTTGCAGACAACAAAGACAAAAAACCCTCTCTTTTAACTAGAACAAAGCTAATTCACAAAAAATTATTCGAGGCTTCTTTGAATCTAATTACTTTCAATCTACCGTTTGCATCTAATAGACTCACTCTTGCGACAAGATTTATACCAAAACTTTTCTGGTGGTGGTGTGAAATGGCTCCTAACCTCGTTGATAGCTTGATACTCTCTTAAATTACTTTATTATGCCGTTCGGATTCCACGCGCTTTCTTTTTTATTGACATTCAAATCAAATATAGACATAAAATAAAAGATATGCTAATGCTTGCTTTTCAGACAAAATGGTTATGATAATTCCACTTTTAAGATGATACGTTCTCGCCTTTTTCCCACTTATTTACTCGACGTGTAGCTCGTGAGTGGCTGATAAATCGCCCGTAAACCTGGATATTCTCTCCCTTCTAAAAGGATTTTCCTTTACAAGTTGACCAATTTTTAAAAATTTCAACATCACTTTGAGCATATTTTTTTGTAATTTTGATTTAACCGTTCACATCGTTGATTGTCGCCGAAATGCGTGAATAAATATTTTTCCAATTTCCGTCGAAGGAAGTTTCCGATGCATCGTCGCATAAATCTCTTGTCGAAAAATTCAATTCTCGTACACACACACACACACACAAACACACACCAAGTCGCAACAATAACGTCAACGCTTTTCGAATTTGCGAAATTTCACCAACGTAAAACGTAGGAAAAAAGAAGCGCGATCTAATCCATCTCGACCTGGTTGAAAGTTGGAGAATTTACAACAAGAGATAAGATTGATGTCTCACTTCGTTGACCACATATACACAGAGTGCGAAATATGAGAAGAGTGTGTGTGTTATGTTGATTCGAGAAAAAAATAAATGGAGTCTGCAATTTCCGGGGAACCGGTGCAAAAACGCCTATATTGAACTTTTCCAACGACAAATATTATCCTTGACGGCGAGAGATGATTTATCTCGCTTTGACGATTAGGAAAAACGGGGAACGGATGTGTTTTCGTTAAATAAAACTGTTTTTTGTGCAAAAAACTTTCCAAAAATA